TGCTCCTCGGCCCTCGGCTTTACGCCATCCCGAGTCACACCTACGCGGTCACCCCGCCTGCGTTGTGCTCCTCGGCCTTCGGCTTTACACCATCCCGAGTCACCTGCGCGGTCACCCCGCCTGCGTTGTGCTCCTCGGCCTTCGGCTTTACGCCATCCCGAGTCACACCTGCGCGGTCACCCCGCCTGCGTTGTGCTCCTCGGCCTTTGGCTTTACGCCATCCCGAGTCACACCTGTGCGGTCACCCCGCCTGCGTCGTGCTCCTCGGCCCTCAGCTTCGCATCTCCCGAGTCACACCTGCGCGGTCACCCCGCCTGCGCGGTGCCTCCCGACCCTCATCAGCCCTATTGGCCCCGAGTCAGACCCCGCTCGACCTCCCGATCGAATTGCGTTTCTCGGCCAAGCACGGCTCAAGAAGCATTCACGCGACCGATCCATCTACGACACGCCTCTCAGACCCACCTGAGCTGCACATTGAAGCAGGGAGCCATGCATCAGACTCCTTACGTGCAAAACCGACGCATAGCTCCTTTCGGGTGGGGCATATGATAGGGGTAAAAAACTGACTTGACATAACACCCCGGATTTGACGTAATACACCCCCCCACGTCGGATGCCCAGTACGGCGCATTGCCCCAGAAAGAGCATTAACGACGACGCGACACACACCCACACCCACCGTACCCGAACCACCTCCTCGGCTGACCCATCGTGGCCGGCCGAGGCAGGCAAAGGCACCAGCTGACACCCCCCATACCCTGCGGCAGCTCGGCTCTCCACGCTACGCCCACGACGGCGACAGACGCCATTAGAGGTACGGCCCTGCTCTTGCAGGATGGCCCATCAGGTAACATCAAACCCCCTTTATAAATACCCCCCGGCTCCCGACACCAGGGGGATCTCTCATTCAATAATATACTCTGCCCAACTAACTGGATCGTCGGAGGGGTCGGGCCGAGCTACCGACCCGACCTGTGTGCAGGTACTCGACCGCCGTTAAGTCTCCCCGACGAAGCGGAGTTTCCCAGCCAGGTCCCCCGCGTCTGCCACCTCAGGATCCCGCAGAGGGCCACGTCTGATCCAAGCCATTTGGAGCCCTGATCTAGCCGCGTCGACCCCGAAGTCACGGCTAAAAAGTTACTTACCGTAACAGAGTTTATGAGGAGTATAAACATTAAAAAGATAAGTTTTTGATAGCGATACCCATGATCGTGATGTCTTATGCTTCACTTAACTAAATATCAATTAGGGAGATCCTACTATGCCCTTCCACCGATCAACCCAGGTATAATAACTGTTCCAAAATAATTAGGATTGTAAAGTTTTACACTTATCCATCATCAATGAATTAAAGTACATAACTCGTACAAGAGAATGGTGCCTCATACTCCTGAAGGACGCATCAATCGGAGAAGAAGAGAAGAGGAGCTCCTTCAAGCAGAGAAGAGGAGAACATGGTTTCGGTGGTAAGCCATCGAGCGATTGATCTCGGGCTCGATCTGTACTGATTCATCACAAAAGAAAGTCAAGAATACCTTTGAAGATGATCTTGGAAGTGGCCTGATAAAGATATGAGCACCGGAGAGTTTAAATATTCACAAAAGGAAGATAAACGAGGCAAAATTTCTAAACTATAGTTCCTTAGTGGTTGATATTCTTGGGTAAGTGCATTGTATCAGCAAATAAATTTCTAGCAGCAGATTTGTGATGATAAATTGGTTTATAAACAAGATGCATTAATAACTGGACCATAAAATACGTAAGAACGGCGCCGTACTTTTGTAATAACTGATGAACCTCTGTTTTGTAATAACTGATGAACCTCTCTTCTCTATACGACAAGGAGCTAGAGCACTAACCTATCTCTACTCGGGAAAGCGGAAACAGTACCTTTGACCTCAGACGTTCTTTACTCTTATACTTATGTACCAATACTTACTTTAGATTTCTCGGTGTTGGGCAGAGAGTCACGCAGGGCGAAAAAGGAAAAGTGTTTAACTCCATCCACAATAACGTAACTTCCCGCTTCTTATTCATATTCTTATTACTCCTTACCTGGAACTTGAACAGGCAATTCTCCACTGTTAACTGGAAATCAATCGTATTCACTACTTACCGCTGAAGAAGGGCATTATCGACTACTACTAAGGTCAAGGCTATCAGTCCAATCACCTTTATCGTCGCCAACACCAAGATACCGCACTGCCTCTGATCCAACTTCTATACCTTATACAGATACAGCTTGTTCATTTGCTCGAACTCAAAGTCTACGAGCGGTTCATAAAGGAGATCGGAATAAGTCTCAAATCCGTCAGCTGGAGCAGGCAGGGTCGCTCTCAGTTCTTAATATTTGAAACACTCGCTGTCAGTTCTTAATAACTGATGAACTCGCTGTCAGTTTTTAAATTTCCCTGCCGAACGGCGCTGCTCCGGTGGCGTATACCTGAAAGGCTCTACTCTCCCTTCTGCAGCGAACAACACATTTCTCCCACACCTTTCTTCTCCCACTATCACTCTGCGTCGGCACCTCACCTGTTGCTGCGTCGGCACCTCACCTCGGCATCTCGGCACTATCATTCTGCGTCGGCACCTCGGCACCTCACCTGTTGCTGCGTCGGCACCTTGGCATCTCGGCACTATCATTCTGCGTCAGCACCTCGGCACTATCACTCTGCAGCGAACAACACCTTTCCGGTGGCGTATACCTATAGCTGCGTCGGCACCTCGGCACCTCACCTGTTTCTTAAATCCGCTGCATCACTCGTGTTTTTCTGCTCCTCTTCCCCTGTTTCATTGATTTGGTTTCTCTGCTCATCTTCCACGCAAGTCCTGATAAAAATGATCTTGTTTATTGCTTCATAGGAACAAAGAGCATTTGGTCAAATGACGGAGCAATATACTCCAAGTGTTATAGAGAAATCGTGAGTATATTTTTTTTCTTAAATAAGTATCTAATTAGTAAATTTTGACAATATTTTGTCTTATTTAGATGGTACACATGGTGGGAAGTTTCGGGCCTTTTTACGACAGATTCAAGCATTTCAAAGGCACAATTTGTAATGGTTCGTTATAAATTTATTCTCATAAACTTTTTGTTCATAGCGGTAATGATTTTTTGTTTTATTTAGAAGTTTTGAGTTTATATAATGATGGAATAATGCAAGACATTTTTATAAGCCTAAAATCGTCCTTATAGGGAATATGTGCTGCTTTAATCCTATATTTCGTCAACTATAAAGCATAAGAGGGCATTAATAAAGATTGAAAGGACGGGGTTTGGGGTTTGGTGGGGAAGTACTGTTAGAGAAGGGTTGACTTTGGTGGGAAGTACTGTTCTTCTCTTTGCCATAGATTTTATCTTCGGATCTTACGAAGTAGAAAGTGAACTGCCATATCGCTATATATGTACAAAATATTCTTTAGCAACAAACATAAATATGGAGTGAGACTGTTAGAGAATAATATGAAGGGGTCAATGGGTAGGAGGAGGGTAACAAAGTATTAGGAGGAGAAAACCAATTGGAGGGGGAGGGGAAGAAAGCTTGTTGGATGTATTTGCCTTTCTCATTTTTCTTCACAAGGCTATCTGTTTCACATATTTGAGTCCTTGATGTAATATAACAGATAAGAAAATCAGGGAAAAATGAATTGATAGGCCATATGAACTTGAAACTTAGTATTATATTCTCGCCATCTTGAACAATAACATATTCTTATGTTATAGAATTCATGTTTTTTTTGACATCGACCTTGTTATAATGACAAGTCCAGCATTATGGATCATCGAGCAGTGTTACCTAACTTTTATCTTGTCTTACTGGATAGTTGCATGCAATATCAAGGAAACATGCTTGTGAGCTTTTGCATATACTCTTTTATCTTTTTGCTTATTAGATGTTGCCATGTGCTGATGTTTGTTGGATGCAAACTACATGTACTAAACCATACTAGTCATTGTCCAGGAACGTGCAATAAATAAAGGGTTTACATGACTTTATATGGAAACATCAGCATGCAGTCCATGCGTTTGAACCTTGAGTTACTTAGAAACATCATTTGATTAGTGTAACTTACCTTTGTATTCTTCATCTATTTCTTCTGCAGATACTTCCACCTCCAAGTGTAACTGGTGCTCTTCATATAGGCCATGGTCTTACTGCTGCAATACAGGTGTATATTAGACATTTTCTTCCCTGGTTTCATTGACTTGTGATCGTGCTTCAGATACTTGTTTCTTTGATTCTGTATTTTTATCTAACATGTTTTGTCATGTTATGTAATCGAGGATACAATTGTCCGTTGGCGGAGAATGTCTGGCTATAACGTTCTGTGGGTGCCTGGAATGGACCATGCTGGCATAGCAACCCAGGTTGTGATTTCTTTTTAAGCTTCTTGTAGATTATGTCAAAGCTGAAACTAATTTGCCCAATTTGGTTTATAGGCAGCTAAAACTAATTTGGCCAATTTTGAAACTAGTGTGCTCAACTTTGAAACTAATTGTTGAATTTACTCGATGATGGCCTGTAGAGTAGTAAAGCTGTTTTGGTCCAAATTTAAGAGGGGGGTGGGGGGCGGGAACCTCTTATGATAATCTGCTTGTTCTATTCATATTCATATTCATGTATATCTCCTCTTTTCTGCTTCTTCCGATGAATGCTTAGTGAACTTAGCTTTTTTGGGTTCTCCATAATTTTCTTAAATCATGCGCTCATTACTTTTTGCTGCCAAATATTTGAGTCATATCTAGTTTAGAGTTGATTATTGTCATGCTTAGATTCTTTTTTTTATTTAAAAGAAATACAGGTTACATATATTCTTTGTTATGTTTTCGACCTTCGTAACTCTCGAAAATTCTTCATCGTGACTCCGTTCCATGTCTCATTTTATAGGAAACCTCAAAGTGATTTATTCTATCTATATCCCAAACTTAAAACTTAGAAGAGCATAAAAAAAATGTACACCTTCATACTAAAATATGTCCTTTGTAAAGAAATCCTAAAATTAATAGAGAGAAGGATGACCATTAATAAAAAAAAAAGCCTGGATTTATCCTTTGAGTTTAAAGAGTTTCTTGACTGATTTTAAAGAGTTATCTTGGACCCGAATTGTTTAAAAGTGATGGTCCACATTGGTGTTCCCCGTTTAACTGGTAAACAATATTCGGTATGGACTAAACCCAACAATATTTAGAACCATCCACACAATAATCATAACCTAAAAATTTGATTTTTTTTAAATATTCCTTGCAAAATTCTGGTGACCTTTGTTACAAGTATGTTATGATTGTCTATTATATTAGCAACATAAATTTAAACATTGGTATCTGGTCCAACACATAATGACCATTATCGTTACCTTCTGTGCCCTTTTTTTTTTCTTTTTAAAACATGCACAGCACAAAACATGATATACTTTCCACATGTAACATCTCATGGTAGTATATGAAGTAACTAGTTTTATTCAATTTAAGTTTCAAATAATAAGGTCTCACATGTAACAAAATTTAGCCGGAATATCTCATACTAAAACTAAATCTGCAAAGACTAAGGGCATCACGCGGTGCTACCTAGTGGCGGACGATGTTCCTCTTTGCGTCGATTCTTTAATGGAACTTGAAAGCTGCACTGAAATAGGTAAAAATCATAAATCAGCAATCCTAAGTAGAAACATCCTAAACTTTCTCACAAGAATTGTATCAAAATCATTAATCAAGTACAAATATCAATTAAGTCGAAATCAATATCAAAACATTCATAAATAAATCTTAATAACTACTCTCAATAGCATAGCATATGATGGATCATCGATACCATGGACTGGTGAGTCGACATGGTTGGTCCACTACCGAAGGTGCAAGCTCACCCAGATGTCTCTTTTCTGATGTGGGAGACTTGGTGAGGTGAGACCATGTTGACGGTCCGATAGGAAGTCGTTTTGCTAGCAAGGATCCGATTCAGGATGATCGGGCAAGCAGTTTGGGTTCTTCCAGGTTACGAGGTTCCTCCCTAGAGCTAGGTTGTCTGGGTGACCTCGGGCGATGGGTTATCTCATGGCTATGTGGTTGCGTCTTGACAACAGGATTATCTCATGACCGCTTGTGATCCTACATAACAGGCCGGTACTAGGGGGTAACCCAACGTGGCCCCTCCGAAGCTAAAGTCAGTGAAGGGGAGAATACAGCGGTGTGAGCTG